TTCTTGCCTTACAGTCTTTTCTACAGTATTTCTTGTAATGATGTGATGGAAAAATTGAGATGGCAATTTATCCAAGGCCACAGAGCTTGCCAATACCAGAACCAGCACAAAAGCTGAATGCCTCCCTCTCACACCCAGTGCTTATCCTTGCACCCTGTGCTTCTCTGCAGCTAGGGATGCTGAGATGAGAACTCTGGGAAACGTTGAACCTAAATCCCTTTACATTCAACTTCCTCAGAATCACGCAGTGATTCACAACCTTTCTGGAAGAAACCCTCCAGGATTTTTTGGCACAATTTCCTTTCTTCCCATCCTGACTCCAGTCCCTTTCCGGCATCCTCACCATCATTCTCCCAGCTCGTGTCACTCAGCCCTCATTCCTCAAACACTCTCAGAGGCTGTGTGAGCTCCCCCAGCTGCAGCAGGGCTGGCACCGAGCCCAGGGGAACAAACCCATCAGAGTTTATCAGCTCGGTGTGCACTCTGTCCCTCACCCCTGGCATCTCTCGTCCCTCTGCTCACTCACCAGCTGGCACACAGGAGGGTGAGAGCAGCGACACAACCGAGCCAAAAGCTTTTTGTGCAGTGCTCTTCCTCACCCTCACCCCAGAAAAGCCATCCTTCCTTTTCCTGACCCCCTCACCCCCACTTTGCCCTCTAACGTTTTCTGATTTCACACAAGAAAGATTGAGCCTGATACAAAAATTGCTGAAGTTTGTTATGCCAATATTTAGAAATGCAGTAGATAGTCATATCCATGTCTATATTGTCAGTCTCTTAAAAATGCCAGAAAAAAATTTAAAACAACTTTCTCTTTTTTTTTTTTTTTAATATCGTTATCCTCTGCTCTACAGGATACTCCCACAATGACCAGGTAATAAAGGCAATAATTTCCATATTTCCTGAAAGACAAGCCCCCTGTCCATAGGCAAACACAAACACTGCCTGGCACAAGAACTGGCAAGCAAGCAGAAATCTCTCTTTTCACAGGGTCCTATCTGAGGTTTAACAAATTAGCCTAAAGGTGACATCCCATTATAAACTCACATATAAACACAAGAGATCTTTACATTTAACTAATGCACAACAGGATTTCCTTCCTTTAAGAAGGACAGGGAAGGAAACAAAACAGCAGAAGAAAGATTTCCCTGCTCTTTATCCAAAGCATAAACAACCAACAGAGTTTCCTTCCCTGGAACGTGTTGTAAACCTTGGTCTTCACCTCATTATGTTATCACCATGCTGTGACACTGACCAGGCTTGTGCCATTTGCAGTTGCCAGTAAAGTGACAGAAGCCTTTTCCTCTCAGCTTCCTATCTCAGGCAGTCTATAGTTTTATTCCTAAATGTATGTTATCTCTGCCCTAATGCATAATTGCAGGGATAACAAGCAGAAAGTCTCTGTATCAGCCACAGCCTCTGATGCAGGCTGACGTTAATTCCCCTCAAAGCAACTCCAATTTTTCTGATTGCATTAACACACGACTGTTCTTTGTGCAGAGTTATACACGAGCTTACTTTATTTGCAAATTTAAATTAAGTCTCAGCAAGTTCATTAATATGGAAAAAAATTGCACCTAATACAACTGCCCTCCACTTGTGTAAGTTCAATAGTTTTCCAGTATCAATAGTTCTCCAGTTGCAAAACTGCTGAAGCCAATTTCAAGCATTTTCCATGAGTACATTATACTAATCTAGCATATTTCTTAAAGATAATGACAAAGACGTTGCAGTTAGCATAAAAATAGGAAATTTGAGGTTTAGGATAAACGTTCATTTCAAAATTGAAAGAGCTTCACAGTCCACAATATCATCCCTAGACTTGGTAAAAAAGCCTGAAGATTTACAGGAATAATTATTATAGGAAGATAGATTGCAGACAAACAGGTAGAATATCTATGTGGTGTTAAACCTAAACTTGTAATACCCAACAGCTATTCACAATTCCTGTCTCATGCAAAATAGAAGGAATTATTTACTGGACTCTTCTGTATGTAGTTTCAAAGTTTATCACTGAGGAATGATATCAAATAGGTCTTGCAGGTAAAGGCAAATGGAGACATGGAAGAGGTTACTGATTTTGTTCAGATACATGGGGAAGGCACACAGCACCATGTGAAATTCATACACAGCAATTCTTTGTCAAAGCATTATTTAGGCATCATTTCTCCACTTTTACAGAGAGGAGGAAAGAAGGCACTCACATAATCCAGGATTCCTTTCTCTTCCCTCAGCATCCTTTACTCCATTAGCTTCTTGAAGGGAATTGACTGAATTTCAGTCTCAGTCACCAAGGAAGACATTATTTGCAAAGTTATGATGAAACTTTGGAGAAAGAATATTCAGAGCCAAAGACAAACCTGGCAGCTTTTTAGGAAATGTTATGGCACTTTCAGAGCTTGTAAAACAGTTACTGCCTATTGTGTTTTCTGTAGGTAGTTTCTTGTATCTCAAGTTAGAGATGTCTTAGGAAACCAGGGATGTGGGGGTTCTGTGGTAGCTTTAAGCCTAAAACAGCTAAATTGCAACATGAAAATGAATCAAGAATTCTGGAAGAAAAATTCTGTATGCATTCAATCACCTTTCTGCACAGTACACGCATTTGTGCATGACCCACATGCACACAAAAAGTCCTTGCCTGTGTCCTCACAGCCTCTGCAGCACTCAACTTCTTGGCTACAAAATAACCCTGACTGGGAAATAGATGCTCACAGGTAGAAAAAAAAATTCAAAGATTAAGTGCATGAACTTTCACAGGAACACATTATTAACCCCAGCTTCTTTCCAGCCTCTTCCATGTACAGTTTGGCTCTTTGGCACTAAGGTCCCACTCTTGTACAGCTCCTGCCTGATGGAATAATTTGTCTTTTACTCTCACCTATTCTTTCATTGCATTCCAAAACACAACTAACACATTTTCCACCCTTCTCTCACCCATTTTCACCCCCTCTCCCTTTTGCTCAGGACTTCACTCACAGAGTGCAGCACATGCTGTATACTCAGAGTTCCTCAATAGCAGTGTATACAAGCCGAGGGGTAAGTTTGCAAACTGGGGAAAAAAGCAACAAAACACACAAAACCCAACAAGAGCAAACACAGACTAACAGATCACAGCCTGCTGAGCACTCACAACTCCAGGCTTTGATCTATAATGTAAAAGAGTCTGGACTTCACAAGTCCACATTAACTATGCCATTTTCCAGTTTTAATTATTTTTTCCATGAAGACACAAAGTGGAGTCAAGCAGATTGCTCATTTAACTTTCCTCTTCCCCTACTTCTGTGAAACAGCTATTTAAGTATATTAACAATTCCTCCTCATCCTCAAGGCTGCAACATTTCCAAACCTTCCTGAGATGATAATTCTTGCTTGGCTAGGCTTTTTTTAAAACTCTACCAACAAATAACACAAGTGTTTTTATAGACATTCTAAATGATGCAAAAGATGTCTTGGAAAACAGATGCAGAATGGAAATTCAAATCACAATGTACATATTTCGTGGTAGCAGAACAGTTTCAATACACCTCGTTCAATTACAAACACTTCCAGCCTGGTTTTAGCCAGCAGCCTCCTCACTGAATTGAGGCAAACACCCACAACCCAATTCAACTCTAAACAAGCTGTGAGTCCCCTCACCTTCAAATCTGCTTCGTTTTCCTCTTTGAACCCTGCAAGTCAGAACATGCAACGAACATACCTGTTTTCCTCACCAAGAAAAAAAAACTGAATCTGTTTTTTTATAATAAAACACAGTAATTTTTGAGAGGTGCCCTACTGAAGTTTTTAAAATATACACTCCACAACTCACCATTGTTAAACACTAAGTCACACTAACAAAGAACAGCCAGAGAGACACAAGACCAGCTCATGTGTACTGTACATGTAGAGAGTAATTAATCATCACTTACCACCTCCTGCTTCTCTCTTTGTATTTCTTTAAGGAGTTACAGTGCACATGCACCACACTACAAGTTTATCACTTTATTTTTTAAACATAGAAGTATTGTTTCAGCAATTTCAGAAGTTTGCAATGTGTTTTCTAAAACTTCAAGGGAGATTTAATCAGATGACTGACTTCCGAGAGCAGCATGAATCTTTTTAATTGCAATGTCTGTCAGCCATCCCAGTTGTCGCTGCTTTAGAAGTATGGCTTTTGTTTTCCTCCACTGTTGCTCTAAAATTTCTTAAGTCTCAATAAATTTTATTCAGGAAATAGCATCCCTGCTCCTAAACTCTGGGAGTAAGTTTTCATCCTGATTCAACCCAACAAGTAGGAGATTTATTCACATAGTTGACAGAGAGAAAAAAAAAAAAAAAAAAAAAAGTTTTCTGCTAATTCAGTGAACTGCGTTCCAGAGCTGGTTTGTGTTTTGCCCTTACTGAAGGGAATTCTTTGCAATGGCTTCATGCTAAGCCAAAAGTAAACACTCTTCCTTTTTATACAGCTCAATCCCAAAGTATCAACACTGGCATCAGTGGTGACAGAAGAAAAGCTATATTCCCCCAACAAGAGAGAATTATTTTTAAAAACTCAAAAATTAAAAAGAAACACCAAACAAAAAAAATCCAACCCCACAAACATTATTCAGCCAAATCCATACACGTGTCTGAAATGCAAGCATTAATTAGTTACCAACCACTTGAGAGGAGGACAGTACCAACTTCACAATGGCACAAGGTAAGACAAAAACCACCAGGATAATCCCTGACCAAAAGATCTCTCCCACAAATACCTGCAGGTTAAAAATTTACCAAGTGCTTTTGCAGCATGCTGGAATTTGTTAATCTAGACATCACATACAACTCTTTGGAATATCCTTCTCTAAAACCAGCTCCACTGGAACAGGTAGTAAAATAACTTCACAAGACATAGCAGTCAAAAACAATTTTTGTTCTAATTCTTGGTGAGCATATTTACATTCCCTACCTTCACAAGTCTCCACAATTGCTTTTCAGAAGAACTTTCAAAATAACAAGACTAAACACCATCAAGGACTTACCAGATTGGAATTGGTGGCATTGGAATCATCTTCTGGAAAGGGGATATAGATAGCTAAGGCCACACAATTGGCAAAAATAGTCAGTAAAATAATTATTTCAAATGGTCTGAGGAATGGAGTTAAGGAAATTGTTCCAAAAATGAGCACACAAAAACAAAAAGAAATAAATAATAAAAAAGGATTTATAAGAATTCTGTTTAAAGAAAGCATTCCAAGCCCCTTATATTCTGAAAAGAAACATATGCCTTTTTAAGTGCTTTTAGGAGCTCCCAGCCAAAAATCTTCCTAATATGTCAAAAGCAGTGTAGGCCAGTCGCGTGCCAGAGTAAACACACATTTCTTCAAAGTTTTTTCTTCTTTTACTTATTTAGATTGCATTTTCCCAATTTCCCTTCCAGTGTGGCTGCACTAGTTTTAATAAGAGAAACCTGTACTATAATAGGCACCCTTGGTTTTTTTAGGATTCCTTTTTCTTAGTTGTTTTCATCAGAATATATAAATTCTCAGATAATTTTAACAAACTCTGGGGTTTTTCTCTTTTGTTGTTGTTGCTGCTGTATTTTTGCACTGCTTTCTCAGTTTCATATCTTGGAGTTAAATGTGAGGGCTCAAGCAATACATGCACACACGATTAGAAGGCATTTTCAAAAAGATAAATTTTGTTGAGGGAAATAAAAGCCTTTGTCCAAAACGTGCTTACACTGCACATTGCCACGTACATTTGTTTTGCTTAAAAATTATTTGAGGGAGTATTTTTTTTTTCTCTTATTTGCATTTCATTTGGCATCAGAGGGAACACAGTATATTAGGGACAGCAGGAGCTGAGAGTCCCTTCTGAAAACAGTTCAGAGGCATTTCAACCTTGCATCAGCTTTGCTGGGGAAGAGAGAAACCCAACATTTGGAATGTTCAACAGAGAAATCCTGCACAAATTCAATGTCCCCTGACTGTCCACAGGAACCAAAGGGCATTTTCCTGCTGCCCAATCTCCTGGCACTGCACTTTATCTACCTCAATCCTCTCCCTAATCTCAGTCGCTGTGAAGCATCTCCAAACTCAGACTAGAGCCCAGATTTATGGTCTGTCTACATTTACTGGCCTGCAAGAACATCCTGGAGGATGCCTCTGGGATAAATCACCAGTGCTCTGGGAGGGAATGAGGAGCAGGAGAGAACAGGGAGAATGCCAAGCATAACCTGTGCCACAGAGTGCACTTGAGCATGGCTTTATCTGCCACGGGACTGCCAAATGTCAGCACAGCATGCATGATTTTGGTCAGCAGGCTGCTGCTCTCAGCAGGCTTGAGCACAAAGAACAGGAGATCTCTGAATGCTAAGCTGATCTGCAAGATGCACACAAATTCCAGGCACCTGGCCACTGGTTATACTCACACACATTCGACATTTCACATGGGGAAGAGTCAGGGGGTTCCAGACTCACCAGTCTACTGTGCTTAAGCCTCTAAATAAAAGGAGATAAATGGTACCACAGAGGCAGAAGAGCAGATCAGGACAGGAAGACTACATGAGAAATCAGTGAGACTTCTCAGGTATGTCCTACCCCAGGCTGTTTCCATAATGGTTACTGCTCAAAGACCTGAGTTTCCATAGGCTTTCTTTCCTCTTAATCACTTTTTCCCACAGATTTCTTTTTGTTTATTTTGGCAGGATTATTATCCATTAATTTATCCCTGTTTACACATTTTTTTATTTATATTCTTTTCGTAAACATTAAATTCTATAAAATCTACAAATACACTGCACAAAAGGCAGAAAATTAAATACACAGCTAGAATCTTTGCAAAATAAGATAATTACTCCATTTCACTTTTTCTTGAGTGCAATTGCTCATTCAGGCTCTTACCACTGTAATATTTGGGTAAGAAACACCACAGAAATATTATTTTATATTTGTTCAATATCTATTATGCTTAAACTTTAGTGGTACACCATATTAGGCTAAGCCTTTCTCAGAAGGTTTTAGCAAGCAGGATAAGTCAGAACAGAGAATTGAACTAAACCTTGTCACAACCCTTTGATACTGCTTGTTGTCATTGAAGTGTTTCATCTTTACAAACTCTAGACGTCCAATGAGAGGTTCTGATGGAAAAAAAAAAAATACTTCCATCAAAGTAAATACTTTCAGATGGAACAAAAAATACTTCCATCACCTAAAACCAAATAAAGCCCCAGTCTGCAAGCTTCAGCATCTTTGTATTGCTTTAGTTGCACTGTTTGGTCATCTCTTAATCTCAGCAGTGCTGTTCCCTGGTTTACAACACATCACCCATTGCTGATCCCCTTGATCTATCAAATGTCACTCTGTGCTTTCCCTGAAGACACGTGGTGACTGGGGTGCTGCTAAGCAAACCAATATTCACTTTTATGCTCTTAGTCATCACCCATCATCTTATGCTTAAAGCATCAGACTTTTGTCAGAAGCAATAAAAAGTAGCAAACTTAATAATGGGATTAAAAATTAGCATCTGAAGAAGAAAGGAGCAGGCAGGCAGGTAGTTTAAGGACATAGAAGGATTGGCAGGAGCATTTTTAACAAGTTCTTCATCTGAAAAGTATGTCCATGTCAGCAGTACCTAATATACTCGTTTTCTGTTTTCACCCAACATTCCAGCAAACACTCAAAGAAATAACATTATCACATTGTCTTAAATGCCTTAATTCATTTTTTATCACATTAACTAGTGCCAAGTTCTGTACTGCCTTTCCTTGCTTATCTATCCCTAAAAACGTTCATTTTCTTCTCTATTTCCTGAAGAACCCCCTCAGCTTGTGATTACTATTTAGGGTTAATCCTGGTTTCTCTCTGAGGATGCAAAGGAGGCATCATTTCAGTTCATTTCAGTTTGAGTCTCACACCAAAGACTCAAATTCCAGCTTGCACTGACCAGACTTGGATGACTGAAAAGGCTTTGCTCTTTGCACACAATAAAGCAATGACCAGACTCTCCCTGACTTTCCAGGGAAGCAGCACTGACCCCTTCACTCTGCAGTTCTGTGTCACTGGTTATCATCCATCATCTGTGACACCATCTGTCTCCTGTTCAGGCTGTCAGATCTGGCTCTGCACTGCATTTGGACATGTTACTTTATTTCTTTTTTCCTTCTTTGAGATAACCATTATCCCTTACTGTACATTACTGTACATTAGTCTTTTAACTGGAATTCCAATATAATTAATGCTTCTAAACCCAGTCTCTAAGTCTTACTTTGTACCTTTGGGGTTTTTTACCTTTTCCTTTTGCCCAATTCTTTTCTCCACACTGTATAAAGTGTGATGTCACATGTTTAACAAACAAGTGTACAATTCAAAGTACCAAAGCTTTTTGGACTGGTGACACCTCTAAAAAATAATAAAAAAAATTTAGAAAAGGAAAAACCAGCAGCTGCTATCAATTCCATAGAGTCAGTTCGGTTCTGGCCTCAGATACCTTGAATATCTGCCATGTATTTCAGCCTGGGCCATACCTTTTTCAAAGAGCAGAATTCAACCACCAAACTTTACCATTCTAGCTTCTATGGTTTCTCACAACAAGGTGTAGTTAAGGTTTCAGTTCTAATTCTCTTTCCTGACATGTTCCCTCACCTCACTTCAGAAATCAAAAATTATTTGTGTACTTTAAGTTCCCAATGGTGTCTTTCTGCTGGATCCCAAAAACCTGAGAGTTCTGAGCTTTCTGGCACTGACCCCCTTGGGGACCCTTGTTTTTGCCTTGGGCCTTTGGGGAGGGTTTCCAATTTTGGTTGTTGGGTTTAAAATCACAGGTGTGTAGTTAAATAGAAGCGTGTGATTTCACATGGTGAAGGGTTTGGAATTTGAGGTTTTTATAATACAGTAATAGGTATGGGACAGGATGAAGGATTTTGGGTGGTGTCTCTTTTGGTGCTCATCTTCCTGCTCCATGGTTTCAAATAGTTTCTGTCTGGATGGTTAATGCTGCACTGAGGATCACAGGAATTTGGTTATTGGGCCAAAAGTCTAAATAATATAGGTGTTAGCTCTTTATTGGATGTTTAGCTTTAAGAGACCTTGCAGCAGCTGGATTAATCCCCATTTTGCTCAGCTGTAGCTGGAAGCTAAAAAAGTGTTGCTGAGCTTTCTGTACTTTTGATAAGACTTAATAAACAACCAAGCCCAAACACGAGAAAATCCATCCCCGTCGTGTTTTTTAACCCTGCCTCTGAGCGAAGACAGAAGAACCTTCAGACAAACCCCTAATTAAACAGTGAGAACACCACCCCCCGTTACGAGCAGCTCGCCTGTGTGAGGTTACACCTTCCACCACCCCAACGCCTTGATTCCCCCCCAGCTATGCCCAGGCCGTGCCCACACCCCCTTTTGGCCGTGCCCAAGGATATTTCCATTCGACGATGCTGATGCACGCCCTCCGGATGGGATTCTTCAGCGTGAGGCACAGCAGCGCCCGGGGAGGGCGGGTGGCTGTGGTGGTACCCTGCTTCTTCTGCTTGCCATACTGCTGCCTTTTCCTCTGCGTGGAGCTGGCCGTGGAGATGGTGGCGTTGCCAGCGCTGCCCATCAGCTTGGCTTGCCTGGCAGCATCGATGGCAGCCTGCCAGGACAGAGCTGCCCCCGGGCTGGGGATGTGCTCCGGGGCCAGCCCCGCAGCCGCGTTGGCGTTCATGTTGGCATGAGCCGGACGGGGACTGCCATAGTTGGAACCTGCAGGGGTGGGTGGGAAAAACAATTTGAAAAAAATAAAATGAGCCAGAGGAATTGGTGAAAGTATTTTTTTAAGCGGTAGAAGAGAGCGCTAGTGGTTTTTTTAAACCTTCAGTGGAGGGTGTTGTGGGTAATTCAACTCCTTCATTGTGAAGTCATACTATTACACAATCCTCAGTCTTGCAAGAGACTCCCAACAAGACTGATGGATGCCGAGCTGTTAGAATCAATCCTCCAATCAATGCAGTCACCAGAGGTTCACAGAAAAACTATCCTCTCTTTTCTTTTTTACCCACGCATTTTGACTGTCTGAAAGCTAAGAAAGCAAGGCTGGTCCTCATCACCTTCTCACCCAGACATGCAGCACCATCCTGGCTGGTACACAGCATAGGACCCAAATGAAATTGTCAAATCCTATCATAAAAATCTTCATGCTTCTTCGAGATTACCCCAAGGGAAGGTGAAATTTTATGAATAAGCTTAATTCTCCCTGCAAACAGCACAGATGTATAGACCAGCCTGAGCAGAAGGTACAGTGAAGCAGAAAGCAGCACACAAAGGTTCATGGTTTTGTGCTCTGTATGTTCTTGTGCAGAGACATTAGGCCAACCAATTTGTTTAGAAATTGGAACTACTGCCATATCCTGATAAACTGAATCAATGGAGAAATTTATTTTAAAAGCATAAAATAATAAGAATGCTAAAACATAGCAGTCCCAAGATTTGCAGCTTCTTTAGCCAAAAGTCAGGGAGGATATGTATTTCTCCAATCATAATAATGGAATATAAACATCAAGCAATGTGTGGCTGATATTGAGAACGTCTGAGCAGCACAAAAAATAAAGTCACTCTTTCAAGCTACTGCAGTTGTTCCAGTGTTTCAGTAAAAGACAGCTAAATCACCTGTGCCTTTTCAATGAGGCTTTTCCAGTGACCCAAATTAAAACCGCGAGCACTTCAAGATGAGAGAATTTTGAAATTTCAAAATTTCAGATTGCTTTACTCTTTGGACTATGCTTCACCTGAGTTCTGCAAGAACTTGTGAAAGATTAACTGAATTTTAGCCTTGACACTTTACAGAAGAAAATGTAAGTCCTGTCAAAAAAAGTACAATATAGAATCTACACAAAGTCACAGTAGCAAACTTTGATTAAGAAGAATGCCTTGTTTAGCTGTGTCCTGTATCATATTTAATAGACTATTTCATTTGTTGTGGAGTTTGCCTGTGGCCCATAATTTGAGGTACAGGTAAAAGGAGGCCTGAGGGGTCTTAAAGATTTTATTCCTCCACAGTTCAGCTTCAAACCCACTCCTGAGACTGGTGGTTAAAACTATCTTTAGCTGAAATCTTAATTTTCCTGAAATTTGTGTCTCACTTCCATTTATGTGTGAAAGGAAAAGTGCACACACAGGGGGCAGAGAGTGGAAAGCCAGGCCAGGAGTTGGATCACCTATTTCAGAGCAAGCTCAAAGCCTCCTGTTGGCCATGTTCCACTTGAGGTTAGTGCAGAAATATGGTGCTACTAAATAGGCCAGATGGGCTCCTGTTAGACAGAGCAAAGGGAAGACCACTTGTAACACTGTCTCATTTACAATATCATTACCTTAAAACCAGGAACTTGGCAAGCTCTTCTTGAAAGGAAATAATTACTCAAGATGCATATTTCATAGCTGGATGTGCAGTGCCAAGGTATCACAGCACTGACTGCACTACAAATGAATTAAAGCAGGTGGAATAAATACAATTACATTGACACACAGAGGATATATGACTCTACCTAGAAAGCATTCAAGATTTGTAAATCCATCTCATTGAATCGCAAGGAAGGACATGCTAGAGTCAGATTTTTTTATTTTTTTTTCCTGTCAGGCATTGCCATAAGATTTTCAGGCTGTTACAGTCTGATTGCAGAGCAGGGAAATCCAGAGCTTGTCCCTGCTCACTGAAAAACTTCCTAGCTGCAAACCAGCCAAAGGAAGCTGATGAGTAATATGACTCTGATATGTGAAAGGGAAAGCTGAAACAAACAAGAAAGGGGAAATGGTTAATTCACATCCCTCACATTTTGAAAATGAAGAAAAAGAGCTTTCAGAATCCTACAGGCTAAGCAGATTTCCTCGATGAAGCAGGCAATCAAGTGGCAGACAAACTTAGTTTTCCAAGGCTAAGCAAATTGTACACAGCCCTACTCATGAGATACGTATTTATTTTCAGACTAGTTCCAGATGCAGTTTTTCTCTTAGCATCTATTTGACCTCCCTAGCCTGAGGCACGCTGGAAAGGCAAAATAAATGGAAAATTACTCTAATTATTCTCCAACTCCAGCTCTTCTTCAATACTGACCCATTAGAGTGGAGAAGAAAGATGTGTGTTTTCCAGCAAAAGCAAACTTGCTGATCCCTCTCCACAGTGTTCTTATCATGCTGACTAGACCATGTGCTCCTGTAAATAAACAGCTGCTGCTTCTTAATGAAGACTTTTCTGCAATTTGGGAATGCATCAAGCTTCATCATTATTATTTCTTATTAGTTAGGTTCCACATGAGGATCCAAGTCCATGTAATTTGACTTTGATGGGCCAGCAAAGTTAAGGATCCAACTTTCAGTGGTTTTATTGGTTTTGCTTCTAATGTGATCAGCAGTCCCATAACAAAGTGCTTTGTCTCAAATTAATTTCAAACGATGAGTCAGTAATGACAGATTTATATCAGCAAATATTACAAGTATTGATTACTGATAAGCATCTGCCTGTTTTGTGAAGCTCAGAGGCTGCAGACAGGATCTGTAGTAAATGACTAATGGCAGTGACAAATGCCTTGTTCTGGAGGTATTTTATAGAAATAGCTTGAATAAAAGAGTGAAGCTCCCACAGCTACATTCAAGAACTGAGCAAAATATTTTCAAAGAGAGCCTAGCCAAAGTTTCAGGGAGAATGAAATTCCACCCTATAATCTAAATGCTTAGGGTTAATCCCTGGGAAGTAAGGAGAACACAGTTCCTATTGAACTCATGAGGCACTAGGCTGAAATTTCATGTACAGTTCTCATTTCTCCCCCACCACAAAACTTTGCTACCACTCGAGAGCTGCAGTTCCTGGATTTGCCTTTTTCCTTCATTTTTGGAGTGTAGCAGTGAAATACTCCACTCAATTTCCCTGCTACAAATAAAGTTTCATACTCCCAAATGCACCATTATTAAGCTGGATGTTGACCAGAACCAGGAAATGGAGATTGAGCCCCCACCCAAATGCAATAACTCACTAAGCACTGTGATCCACAGCATCATCACCCTGCTAATCCCCACCACCCTTCAGCAAGAATTTATATTGTTGACTGTATCCAGCTGGTGCACAAAATTCTGCTCTCTCAAGCCCTTCTGTGCTACAGATCATGAATTTGAGCATCCAAATATAACTAAACAGAAAAGTCCATATATATGAACAAGTTTGATTACAAAGTCTTTGGAAGAAACTATCACTTCTGAAAAAAAAGGCAGATTTGCAGAATTAAAACAGAAACACAGGTCTCAAAAATCAGAGTTAAGTCACAGAAGTAACAGGTAAGGTTGCTCTACAACAGGAAATGAACCACATTGCACAAAGTACCTGATGCTGAATGAAAGCTTACAACTCCATCACCAAAATTTTCATTACCAAAAACACTGTTAAAGTACACAGTGACGACCAATTTAATTGGTGTTTGAATGCTAGTACCATCTGTCATGCCACCCATTAACTATGTCAAAAAGAATCATAAAAAACCCCAACTATGCAGTGACCATTTGATACAAAACAGGGGCAAGTTAATGACACAATGGAATCACAGCTTCTGGGTTTTATTTCATTATTTATTTTTATTTTATTTAGGGATTTTTACTTCATCTACTTAGCCATACATCTATTTTAGAGAAATTTTTGCTTGGATTAGTTATTCAAATAAAAAAATATACAAATCCTGATGTGGAATGTCATCATTTTTTTTCCCCCATCAGTTTAAAAACAGCAGAATCCTAAAATTGCACACCTTGAAACTGCTGCAGAGCTGTGTTTTCACCCAAAGCAGAGGAGAGCTGGGTACAGTAAAAAATGAGATTGGTTAACTCAGGGTCTTAACTGCTCTCAGAATGAAAGCAAACAGGAAGTAGGAAACTACTCACATTGCTAAGATCGTGTTCAAGCACACAGGAAAAACATGATAAAATAGTGAAGTGAGAGGTGTCAAAATCAGAAGCACAAAGAACAGCAGAAAAAAATGTCAGTGTATGAGATCATCATGTTAGTAAGGAAGAATGTGGAAAACATTGATCCATTAACCAATGGAAAAAGGAGAGCATTTGATATATGATTCCAAGAAGGATTACTGACATTTTTGCATCAATTTTTACTAAAAAATAATTTAAAAATCCAATAAGAGCTGATGACTAGCACAAACAAACCCCAAAACAAGACAGGTATTGTTTCCAACTGTAAAAGAGAATCAAGTCATTGGATAATGTCCATGCTTTCAGCTATTTTGGTAGAATGTCCTGGAATACTTAAAGCACTTTCTGAAGTAACCTCAAAGCTGCTGGCTTGAACTCATGGAAGATAGGATAAATCTCAGAGGACTCAGATATGGAAAGTGGAATCCCCATTTTAAAAAAAGAAAAAAGTAGAAAGAAAGTAAATTCACATCCAGATTAACTTCAGTTTCAAAAAAAAAAAAAAACAAAAAAAAAACCACAAAACAAACTGGACTAAACAAAATAAACAAGCATCAGAAAGTATTTACAGGACAAGTAGAGAAAGAGCAAGAGACACAGATCTGTCATGAATACATTGCATCAAAGAAAACCAGCTTCTTCCAGAACTGAGCAACAGAAGTCACAGGCAAGGTGAAAGCAGCAGGGTCCACGTCTCCTGGTTTCATTAATAGTTTTATGAGGTCTTGTATGATAGCACCATAAGAATTCTAGGGACATACAAGCAAGGAAAAAATTGGAAATCAGGAGTATGAAACCAG